AAGTGTATATATGGGTGTGTGTATAATTAATATTTTAAACATTTTAAATTATTTGTAACAAAAATTCTTCAAGCTGCTCGAGGTCCTCTTTGAATGACTTCAACATTTTTTCATTATTAGCATAGGTTGAACCTGAATAGTAATTCTTTTTTTAAAAAAAATTGGGGACCTATATTATAAACTGCATACAAGTTTGTAAAGCTATAAGTTCCAGTTGAATAGAATGTTTTTATAATTGTCTAGTGACCCTCTCTATCCTCAATATATTTTTGTCTTCAAGTGCATTTTTATATAAATATAGCTATTCTTTTATTCTGGTTTGTGTTTTCTTTGTCTCTTTTGTAATCCTTTGACTTTCAACTTTTCCATATTTTACATGTACTCCTTGAAGTGGCACAGAGTTGTAACTTTTGAAATTCCTTTGAAAGGTTTTTTACCAGTAACTTTAGTTCTTTCACATTTATCATAACTATTTTTGTTTTGGAATTCCTTCTATTACAACCCTTCTTTTTTTTTTTTTTTTTTTATACTTTTGGAGGAAGAATAAGACATTGATTCCAAAACGGATTTTGTAATCAAACTTTCTAATTTTAAATCTGTCACTAAGTAGTTTTTTGACATAAACTGTCACACTTTCCTCCTCTGTAAAATGAGTATAATAGTGAAGCCACAGAGACATGGTGAAAATTCAATTTGTTACTAGATATAGGTGATTAATCTGTATGTGGGTTGTAAGAATCACGGAGTTTTCTCCACAATTATAGTTCTTTCTCTTTGGTTACCTTTCCATTTCATTTGTTTACCTGTTTTACTTTTACTATTTTTCCTCTACTGATTTGAAATTTAAGCTTTTTCTTATCTGCTTTCAGTGGCTACTCTAAAAACAGTACACAAAATGTTTTCATGAGCATCTAACACAACAAAGGTAAAAACCAAAATAAAGTCTTTCTAGAAAACAAGACTTGTTTCTAGAAAACAAGATTCTAAGAAGTCTGATTCAAAACACCTTTTCCCGATACACTATTTTGTCTAATATATCAATTTTGTCTTTTTTTGAAAATCTGACAAATTTTACATTTATAATGTTTTACAAAGATAACATTTAAGTTGAGATATTTGTTTAGAATAGTATTTGTGTTTTAACATGCTCCATTCACTTCTCACCTACTTTGTTGTTTTAGAATATATGCAGTTATTCCAATTGTCCTTCTTTTTAAAGTATCCTGCCAGTTTTTCCTATTTTTCACTTTTACTATAAATAAACTTTACATACAAAGTATAAAATAATGTATATAGATCGAGGGCTGACAAATACTCACGTCTAAGTAACAATTATCCCCCATATTTTGTTTCCCCTAGAACGTTTACTTAGCACCTTGGCATCGTCTCTCCCCCTACCCTTGTTATCTCTGTTCTAATTTCTATCAGCAGATTGGTTTTGCCTGTTATAGAATTCCATATTAAAGGAACTAAGTTCTCTGTATTACTTATTTCTGGCTCATTTTACAAAAGATGATAACTGTACAAAGCATCTATGCCCTTAAATATGCCATCAGTTTGCTTACTTTTACCGCTACATAGGTATTTTATTGCATGATTCAAAACGTGTTCATCTATCTGCCTGTTAAACATATTCCTATTTTCAGTTACTCACTACTGTGGATAAATTAGTTATAAATGTCGATTACAATTATTTTGGGAATATAAATTTTCTTTTCTCTTGGGTAAATTCCTGGGAATTGAATTACAGAACAGTAGGGTAGGTACATCTTTGCAAGAAATGTTAGAGACTTTATATTTCTTTTTTCTTTTTCCTTTTTTTTTTTCATTGTAGAGACAAGGTCTCGCGAAGTTGCCTAGGCTGTTCTCAAACCCATGGGGTCAAGCAATCCCCTCACCTCAGCCTCCCAAAGTGCTGGGATTACAGGCTTGAACCACCATGCCCGGTCAGGCTGTATATTTCTTTTCTTGTAATGACCATGCTAGATTTTGTTATTACAGGTAATGTGTTACTACAGCTAGTTCATAAAATTAATTAAGGAAGTGTCTATACTCTGCTATTTTGAAAACAGTTTTTGTAAGAATGGACATTACTCATTTGTTAAACTTTACCAGTTTATCCGAGGCTGGACTTTTCTTTGCAGGAAGATATATTATTACAAATCTATTTACTATAATAAGTAAATAGTCTTCAGGTATTCTGTTTCTTCTGAAGTTGATTTTGGTAAACTAAGCTTTTCAGGCTATCTGTCCATCTTTCTTTTATCTGCTGCTGATATTAAGCTGTAGACAAAATTTCCTTATACATATAACTCTGGAGGGTTTGTAGAGATATAGCCTCTTTTATTACTGACACTGTAATTTTTTTTCTTTTTTTTTTCTTATCAGTCTTGAAATTTAATACTTGCTTTATTGCCTAGAAAAAGGTATATTTGTTTTTTTGGAAAAAAAAAAGTATATTCTGCTGTTACTGGGTACAACATTCTGAGGTCAAATTTTCTATATCCTTATTGATTCCTTGTTTCTTTGTTCAATTCACTTCTGAAATAAAATTCAAAATCTTCAATCCTAACTTTGAATTTGTTCGATTTCTTTCTTTAGATCTGCCAGTTTTGCTTTGCATTTTTGAGGCACTCATTAGCCACATATACATTTAGGATTGTTAAGGTTTCCTGCTGGTTTTACTCCCTTAGCGGAGGGAAATGTCCCCCTTTATCGCTGCTAATACTACCTATCTTAAAACCTACTGAGTTTGATATAAATTTATCCTCTTATTGCGTTCATTTTCTTTATGAGTTTCATGTGCTTAATGTTTACATGGCATACATCTTTCTTCCTTTTACTTTAACTCTAGTTGTGTCTCTATATTTCACTTGTTTTTGTTTGTTTTTCTCTAATTTTAAAAAATTTTTTTTTATTTTAAAGATGTGGGGTACAATTCAGGGTAAAGTATAAAAATGTTCATTATGTAGGTACCCTTGTTGATGAGGTGTGTCCCCACCCCCAGTAGTCTACCACTACTACCAATCCCACCCCCACCCCAGCAGTTTTCCACTACTGCCAATCCCTTTCTTAAAGTATTACAATAGTTGTTCAAGGTTCGCTTATGAATGAGAACATGTGCTATTCAGTTCTTTGTTTCCATGATAGATCACTCAGTATTATAGCCTCTAATTCCATGCAAGTTGTTGTGAAGTTCATAATTTTGTCCTCCTTTATGACCACATTGTATTCCATCATGTTTATGTAAAAAAAATTTTACATAGTACATGTACATATTTTCAGGGTACATGCAACAATTTGATACATGTATATACTCCATAAAGATCAAATCAGGCTAGTTGGAGTATTCACCACCTTTAATATCTACCTTTTCTTTAGACTAGGAGCATTCAAATTATTCTTTTCTAACTATTCTAAAATGCACAATAAATCAATGTTAATTATAGTCATTCTAGCGATCTGTCAAACACCGAGTCTTATTTCTTCTATTTAACTGTATATTTGTACCCATTAATCAACTTCTCTTTATTCTCACCCCCTTCACTTCCTGGAATCTGGTAACCATCAATCTACTCACTATCATTATGATCACTTTTTTAGCGCCCACATTTAATTGAGAACATGAGATACTTGTCTTTCTGTGTTTGGCTTATTTTACTTAACATAACGGCCTCTAGTTCCATCCATGTTGTTGCAAATAACAAGATTTTATTATTTTTTATGGCTGAATAATATTTCATTGTGTATGTGTATCCCATTTTCATTATCCATTCATCCACTGATGAGCACTTAGATTGATTCCATATATTGTGAATATAAACATGAAAGTGCAGATATCTGTTTGATTTTCTTTCTTTCAGATGTAAATCCAGTAGTGGAATTCCTGAATCGTATGATAGCACTTTTATACTTTGAAGTAAATATCTGTAGATTACATTTTATTGGGTCTTATTTGTATGTAATCTGATAATCTCTGAATTTTAATTGGAGTGTTTAGTTATTTACAATTAATGCAGTTATTGATATATTCAGGTTTGATTCTACCATATTTCTTCTATTTTAAAATATACTTTATCTATTTTTGTTATACAGTTTTTCTTTTCCTCCCTTCTTTTGGGTTAAATACATATTTCCTTTTTTGTCTATTCTCATATCTAGGGACTAGACAAGAATGCTGATCATTGTGAATAACCAGTTGTAATACATCTGAATCAATGTGTTTTTTTAAAGGTTTCATTTCAGCAGAATGCAAATTTGCTAGCATTTGTGTATTTTGTTGAGATTTAGTTTTAGGTTTGCTTAAAGAAGTTTACACATGGTTTTTGTTCCGAAGGTATGACTTTCCTGGGTATATAAACTGAATGCTTAGGGTATTAACAAGGCCCTTCCATTCTGATTGAGTCTCAATGCTGCATCTACCACAACTATGAAATCCCAGGTCCACTCTGAATTTTGCTGTAGCCACTCTCTGCTGTGCAATGCAGAATCCCACTCTTGGCCTTAAGCAAAGGCCTGCAAAGAACCCAGACACATATTCAGGAGCCCCTCTCTCCATTTCTTTCCCCTTTCTGAAACCTCTCCTGCAAGTTCAGCTGTTTAAGCAGTCTTGAACTTTTTGCCTCCTCTTGTCAGTGAGATCATAATGCTCTGCTTTTTCTTTATTTTCCTCTGCTGCATTTGAAGTTCTCTCCCTAGAGCTGCAGTGAATATGGGGCTTACATCATGTGTTTTCCTTCTCTTGGGAATGACAGTCGTGGGCTTCTTAGGATCCAGTGCTTGGACACAGTTGTTTTGTATATTTTCCTTAGTTTTATAGCTCGTAACAGGAACCATACTTCATTACTGGACCATGGTTAGACGTTGAAGCCTCCTTTAAAAATTATTCTTTCTTATATCTCATTGTAGAATTCCTCCTAATTATTTTCTGTGGAATATACTATATTTTCCGAAGCTGTGATTTTATATTCCCTATCATGAAATACTGAGACATTTTCATATGTTGTTCTTTCCAATATTTTCTTTATTTTACAGAGGAGGCTTAATGTTCAGTTCAAGCACTGAATTTTGGATTCAGACTCCTTGGGTTCTAATGTATCACATTTTGATTGAAAGTGCTTTGCATTGGGCAACCTCGTCACTTCCCCTCCCACTGTGGGAGGTTTTCTGTCTTCTCAGTATATCCTACCTAAAAAAAAAGAAAGAAAGAAAACATTCACATTTATAAATTAATTTGAAGAAAATTGGTTCTCTATAACATTGTATTACTCATATATTAATATCCTACATTGTATATCTCAATGATGGTTTATGATTTTTGTCCAAGAAAATTTTTTCATGTCTTTGTTAAATTTATTCCTCAAGCCTTCATAGTTTTATTCTTAGTATACAGAGGATTTTGATTTCTACTGCATTTTATGTTTATTGCTGAGTATAGGAATATACTTGATTTTTATATATTTATTTGGTATCAGTAGCCTTAATGATTTCCTATGAGTTATCACTGTTTATATGTAATGTCTTGAATTTTCTATATAGATGAAGATATCATCTGTAAAAAGAATATAAAAACTCTCATAGCTGTGTCTTTCTTCTCAAAATATGTATTGTTTATTTCTTGTCTCCAAGAAACTGTTGAATAACAAGAATAGTAGAATCACTCTTGTCTTGGTTCTGACTTAAATGGGAATGTTTCTGAGTTTCAACAGTAAATAATGATGCTTGTTATAAGTTTTAGATAGATGATATTTGCTGTATTAAGCAACCGTTATTATTTAAACATTTGAGAAATCAACTTTTATTTATGAATTTGTTTAAAATTTTCTTTTGACCACTCTGTTCCAGGCATGTGGCACACAACTGTTACTTCATTAGAGGAAAGGTGTTCATGTCTTTGTTCCTTTGAGTGTGGCTATTTTATTTGCCCATGTCTTTAGTTCCTTCTTCACTCAGCCAGTTTCTTCCCTCTCTTCAAGATACTGCACATACATCACTTCCTCTTGAAGCCATCTCTAGTTTCTGAAGTCTCTGGTGGGAGTATCCTTTGCCTTCTGTATTATGCTCTACAATACTTCCGTATTGTGTTCTACACCCATCACTCATTGTTGTAGCTGTCTGTTAGCCTGTTTTTGTCCTCACTAGTCTGAGAGCAAACACTGACTGAGTCTTGTTCTCGGTTGTATCTGTAGCAACTAGGACAGGGCCTAGCACAAATTAGGTGCTTAATATGGTTTCATTGATCAGTCAGTTGCAAGCTTTGCTTCTGAGTTTGGTTTTAGAGCTAAGGCAGAGCACTTGATTATTTGTCTTTTAAGCCAAAAGTATAAGCAGCACAGTAAGCTTTCACATAAGAAGTTGGCCCCCTGCTGGCTGTGGTGGCTTACACCTGTCATTCCAGCACTTTGGGCGGCAGAGTTGAGAAGATTGCCTGAGTCCAAGGGATTGAGACCAGCATGGGCAACTTGGTGAGACCTCATCTCTACAATAAATCAAAAACTTAGCCAGGCATGATGGTATGTGCCTGTGGTTCCAGCTACTTGAAAGGCTAAGCCGGAAGGAACACATGAGCCCATTAGATCAAGCTGTGGTGGCCGTGAGTGTGCCACTGCACTCCAGCCTGGGCGAGAGTGAGACTCCTACTCAAAAAAAAAAAAAAAAGCTTGGCCCACTTTGTGGTCAGAATCAGATCCATTGTCGATAAAATGTAAATGTTTGTGTCATAAAAGTTGTTTAATACACCATTCTGAGACCTCTCTGTGAAAACCTGTGAGAGAAATTCCTCTGTAATTTCTCATGCCAAAGAGCTGTACTTTCCCTAAACAAGTGTTTTGTTTTTATCTTGTGGACAGTATGACACATGGAGCTGACAGTATTTTCTATTTCACATTGTTTGGAAAGCTTAGAACCAAAGCTCAGCTTACTTTTATCAACGGCATGCAGCAATATAGTATCATCTTGTCCATTAATTTGATTTCTGGTTTTTGTCTGCGTTTGTATCCTTATTTCTTCTCTCTGCCCCAAGACATTATATTGTCAAATTGTATTTCTCTATAAACTACCTTAATTCCTTTTTCAACCACGCAAGGTAAAATAGTTTCAGGGTAATATGTTATTGAAATAATCTCACTACTTCAACCTATGCTGCTGAAAAGACCATCTTTCAGATATGTATACACACAAAAACACATATATAGTTATATACATTTATTATTATGCCATATTCCTGCTCAAAATACTTTAGCAGTGTTCCATTGTTTCTAGGGTAAAACATACATCCTTAGGAATTTGCACACGTGACTCTTCACCTTTACTGCGTATACCACTGATGTGTTCATGTAAGCACTTCAGGTTCATGACTGAGTCACTTGCAAATTAATTTTTTCTTTAAAAATTTAAAAATATAGCCAGGCTCGGTGGTTCAGCCTGTAATCCCGCGCCTTTGGGAGGCTGAGGTGAGTGGATTGCCTGAGCCTGGGTTCGAGACCCGCCTGGGCAACTTGGTGAGACTTCATCTCTACAACAAATCAAAAAATCAGCCGGGCATGGTAGTGCATGCCTGTAGTTCCGGCTACTTGGAAGGCTGAGGTGGAAGGATCACCGGAGCCCGGCAGGTCGAGGCTGCGGTGGCCGGGAGCGGCCACTGCACTCCAATCTGGGCGACAGAGTGAGACTCCAACTCAAAAAAAAAAAAAAAATTTAAAAATGAATTTCCATTTGGAAATTTAAAATAAATTTATGTAATGATATACTGGCTGACCTTTTCATAATTCTACAGTAAAACTTTCTTCTCACAATAGTGAACTTAGGGTTAATTTTTGTTTTGTCTATTTTGTTTTATTTTTCATTTTTGTCCCACCGTGTTGTATATTGAACTCTATTTGGCAAGAAATCAAAATGCTAGAAAGTTTATATCATGTTGTAGAAAACAGATCGGGTGGGCATAAAAATATAAGTATCAATCATGTAACTTTTGTCTAAATACATAAATAATAAAAAATCTTTAACATTCTATGTCCTATGTAGCAAAGTGCTATATAAGCCACTCACTGGATGATAAAATCAACTCAGAATCCCAGAAAACTGTACTTGCAACTCCCATGCTTAAAGTGACTTTAAATTATAGGAAGGCAGTAAATTATTGCATAGTGGAAAGCTAAAGAATATTTTCAGGATTCAAATCTAATCTTACTCACCTATCATCCCCCTTTGATTTTCTTCCTAGATATGAAAAAGAAAAATTATGTAAATTCTGGTAAGTACAGAAAAAGCATGTCTGGAGAGAAATAACTCTGCCCTTAAAAAGGACTTTCTCCCCAGTGGCTGGAAAATAAATTCTGAGTTTGGGAATGAAATACAATCTTCCTTTGCTAAAGTGCCAGAATAGCAAGTCACTTAATTCTACCTCACTCACAATATCAGGAAACAGAAGCTATGTTGAGGAGCATGTGCAGAGCATCTGTGGGTTGGAAGGGCCAAGCTTCCTTCTAAATCAATTGGTGAAGATTCTGAGTTGAGCAAACTCGTAAGCGATACGAAAAGTAAGGACTTCAAACAAGGACAGAATACTTGCCAATTCAGGCCAATAGCAACAATTACACAGCACACCACTTGAAGGGATGTCACACATTTACATATGTCTGACTTCTAGGATGTTTGAGGCACATTATGGTACACTTTGCATTCATTTACCTAGTTATCCAACGAGCTTTTCCTCAGCCCGTTAGGTATGCCATACAATCTTCTCCTTTGAAATTCAATGTATACATGGTCTCTGCCAAATTGAACACCATAAATTAGTAAGATATATAGGGCAACCCACTTGGGTCCCCTCCCACCATGGGAGGTTTTCTGTCCTCTCAATAAATCCTGCTTTCTCAAAAAAAAAAAAAAATTAGTAAGATATATTACATATTATACGTAAGAACAATTCTTGTCTTCTCTATTATATCACAATTTTCTCTGTATGAGACAGAAAGTTTTCTAATATAAAACTTAGAATGCAACGGTGTATATTCCAAATAGATTGTCAACTCCTTGAGGAAAGAAACCATAAAGTCCTAGAAGTAGAAATTTCAATTTGTTAACCAACTCATCTTCGACAAAGCCTCCACCAACAACCACTGGAGAGAGGAGAATCTACTCAGTAAACGGTGCTGGGAAAACTGACTGACCACATGCAGAAGATTGAAACAGGGCACAAAAATCAACTCTAAATGGATCAAAGACCTAAATGTAAACCTCAAACTATGAGAACCTTAGAAAATGCAGGAGACACCCTTATACAAATTGGAACTGGCAACCAATTCCTGATCAAAACCCCAAGTGCCTATGCCATAAGAAATAAGATAGGCAAGTGGGACCTCATCAAGCTGAAAAGCTTCTGCAAAGCAAAAGTAACCACCAAGAGAGTGGGGAGACAGCCCACAGAATGGGAAAAAATATTTGCTAACTGTATATCTAACAAAGGCCTAACACCTAGGATCTACAAGGAACTCAAACATGCCTAAAGGAAAAAACCAGTCTTATTAAAAAGTGTGTACCTTTTCACCACATCCTCTCCAGTGTCTGTTATTTTTTGAGTTATTGATAAAGGTCATTCTGACTGGAGTTAGGTGGTATCTCAGTGTAGTTTTAATTTGAATCTCCTTGATGATTAGTGAGGTTGAACATTTCTTCATGTGTCTGTTGAATGCTTGTATGTCTTCTTTTGAGAAGTGTCTGTTCATATCTTTTACCCACTTTGTAATGGGGTTGTTTGTTTTTTCCTTTTCAGCACATTTGAGTTTCTTGTAGATCCAAGATGTTAGGCCTTTGTCAGACATGGAGTTGGCAAGTACTTTTCCCAGTCTGTAGGCTGTCTCCCTGCTCTCTTGAGGGTTTCTTTGGCTTTGCAGAAGCTTATCAGTTGAAACTATGGGGCGGGGGGCAGGGAAGGGAAGGGAATGAAGGTGGGATTAACGGTAGTTGCTATCTGTCTGGGGACGGGGGGCACACCTCATCAACAAGGGTACCTGCACAATGCATATTTGTATACCTAACCCTTAACTGTACCCCACAATTTTAAAATAAAAAATGTTTTAAAAAAGTGTGTAAAAAACACTTCTCAAAAGAAGACATACGAGCAGCCAACAGATACATGAAAAAATGCTCATCCTCACTAATCATCAAATAAACGTAAATTAAAACCCC